GGAGTTGAAATCCACCCATCTTCAAGCTTGCTGGATGAGGGATTCTGGGAGTTGAAGTCCACTCATCTTAAAGCATGATGGATGAGGGATTCTGAGAGTTGAAGTCCACCCATCTTAAACATACCGGCTGGGGGATTCTGGGAGTTGAAGTCCACCCATCTTAAAGCTTGCTGGATGAGGGATTCTGGGACTTGAAGTCCCCCCATCTTAAAGCATGCTGGCTGGGGGATTCTGGGAGTTGAAAAAGAGTCCTAGGTCAATTTTTTCAGTACTGTTGTAAATTCAAACCGTCAATCAATGTATGGTTGTAAGTCAAGGATTATCTATCTATATATCACTGAAATGGCTCCGTTCACTTCCATTGGAGAAAGTTTGGAGTTTCTGGACACCTTTAGGCCCGAGAAGAAGAAAAAATGAACAAGGTTACCATCGCTCTCCTAAAATTCTTGAAACCCGAGGGTCTCCAGAGAGGCAGCCACAACAACAAGGGGGGGGCCTGTGGCCACACAAAGTTGCATTTTGAGATTTGTGACAGTCCCACATACACCCCTGTGGGAACTTAAGTCTTCACTGGCTGTCACAGAACCAGAGATTTCAGTGACAGGAAGTCAAATACTGGCTGAGTGTCAGAGAAACGTCCCCTGAGAGAAAATGGCAGGGATCCTAAGAGTGGTTAAACCATAACCCAGTCTGGGATATATATATATATATATATATATTTTCTCATTGCAATGTCTGTGGAGATTCTCAGCCATCCAGGTCCTGGTTGTCCCAAAGGTGGTTTCTTTCAAGAGGCAACTGGACTTTCTAGTTTTTTTTTTCTTTTGAAAACGTTTCCCTTCTCATCCCAGAAGCTTCTTCAGTTCTGACTGGATGGAGGGGAACGGAAGGATTTCTACACCTTGCAGACAGCTGGTCATTTGCATCCTTTCTAGAGAGTCGTTGAGGCCACTTGGAGATTCGTCTGTGTCCTCAGTTGTCCCAGAGGTGCTTTTATTTCAAGAGGCAACTGGACTTTCTGGTTTTTCTTTGAAGATGTTTCGCTTCGGATCCCAGAAGCTTCTTCAGCTCTGACTGGATGGTGGGGAATGGAAGGATTTCTACTCCTTCCAGACAGCTGGTCATTTGCATCCTTTTTAGAGGGTCACTGAGGCCACTTGGAGGTTTCTCTGTGTCCTCATAGTGCACATGGGTGTGGAGTCTTCTTGGAACGGCTGAAAGGACCGTGTTATAGACAGGAGAAGTCCTTTCAGCGGTCCCAAGAAGACTCCACACCTATTTGCACCACTCAGGTGACCCTGAAGACACAGATTAAACCTCCAAGTGGCCTCAATGACTCTCTAAAAAGGATACAAATGCCAGCTGTCTGCAAGGAATAAAAATCCTTCCCTTCTCCCACTGAAAAAGATTCTTGGATGAGAAGCGAAACATCTTTAAAGACAAAAAACCAGAAAGTCCAGTTGCCTCTTGTTGAAAAAAATGTACCTTTGAGATTTTCATTGCAATGCGGGGGGTGGGGAGAGGGGTTGAACTGGATGACCTCAAGGGTTCCTTCCATCTCAATGCAATAGCCTCCAACGGTGCCTTTCCGCCTCTGCAGGCTCCGAGAACGAGGTCACGCAGGTGAACCGCTGCCTGGACGCCGCCAAGGCCTGTAACGTAGACGCCCTGTGCCAGCGACTCCGGACCGAGTACGTTTCCTCCTGCATCCGTCGGGGGCCCCGGGCCGACCCCTGCAACCGCTCCAAGTGCCACAAGGCGCTGCGGAAGTTCTTCGACCGGGTGCCGCCCGAGTACACGCACGAGCTGCTCTTCTGCCCCTGCGTCGACACGGCCTGCGCTGAGAGACGCCGGCAGACGATCGTGCCCACCTGCTCCTACGAAGGCAAGGAGAAGCCAAACTGCTTGACGCCGCTGGACGCCTGCCGGGGAAACTATGTTTGCAGGTACCAAAGGACGGACAAGGTCGCGTTCACACGACACGCTGACCCGGGTTGCTGAATTATGCCCTTTGCCAGCTAATGGAAGCATTGGTTTTAACCAAACAAGCTGGGTTCACACACTCTCCTGCCCCCCCCCCAAACTATCCAAGGTTCATCAAGCTGTTTTTTCTTCCCTCTGCCAGGTTAAGAGGGTTGTGCGAACCCAGTCGGAGTGGTTGGAGGCAAAAAGGTACGAGGCAGGACTAGAACTCACCGTCTCCTGGTGATTGGCCCAAAGTCACTCAGCCAATTTTGTGCCTAAGGCAGGACTAGAACTCATTGTCTCCTGCTAGTTAGCTCAAAGGCACTGGTCATCTTTCATGGCTAAGGCAGAACTAGAACTCACAATCTCCTGGTGATTGGCACAAACTCACCTAGCCAACTTTCATGCCTAAGGCGGGACTAGAACTCATGGTCTCCTGCTGGTTGGCTCAAAGGCACCCAGTCTGCTTTCATGCCTAAAGCAGGACTAGAACTCACCGTCTCCTGGCGATTGGCCCAAAGTCACTTAGCCAACTTTCATGGCTAAGGCAGGACTAGAACTCACCATCTCCTGGCTTCTAGCCTGGTGCCCCAGATCTGCTTGCAGGCCAAATGCTGATCATCTTTCCAATCATACTTCAATTTGGGCGAGAGTTCTCAACACCTTTTTAATTCCCACACCGGACCAGATGTTGCCATCACAGCTCTCCCGTGCTCGGGCCATGTTTATTTTTTACACAACGGGTTTTGCCCACACAGACACAGACACACAGACACACAGACACACAGACACACACAGACACACACACACACACACGAAAGGAGGAAGCCGCAATTGCTGTCGTGGGGAGAAAGCAAAGAGTCAGGAGGTTGTGTTGTTTCAGGCAGCTCTGTGTTTGCCTTCACACAAACCTCGGAGAACCAGCTGGGAAGGGACTTTCCTGCAAGGGCCCAACAGTCGCCCTAGATTTATGTTCCTGGCAGGGGCGTCGATGGCTGTGGATGATGGGCTTCCCTGCCTCGCTGGACTGGCAGGAAATAAATTCCTTCCGGCTTTGGTCGCTTGCAGTGAAGAGTCGCTGATTTGCAATCCTGGATTTCTAACAATCGGCCACGTTTTTTACAACATCCCTGTTTGGGCGAATGCCAAACTGATGGTGTTACCTAGTTGGGTGATGAAATGCTTGCAAGAAAGCAACCAAGCTCAGAGAGCATCCAGGGCCCCCAGGGCCCCTGTTCTACTTTCCCCTTCCTCCTCCTTCCCCTCCTTTCCCCTCCTTCTCCTCTCCTCCTCCACCACTCCACAAACCCTACTCCCTTCTAGAACTGATGATATTACCTACTTGGGTAATGAAACGTCTGCAAGAAAGCAGCCAAGTTCAGAGAGCACTGAGGACCACACAGTCCTCCTCCTCCTGCTGCTTTCCCCCTCCCCCTATTCCTCCTCTTCCTCCTCCTCCACTCTGCAAAACCTACTCCCGTCTAGAACTGATGATATCACCTAGTAGGGTAATGAAACATCTGCAAGAAAGCAACCAAGCTCAGAGAGCACCAAGTACCCCATATTTCAACACAGAGCTATGAATATTTTCTTGGAAGTGGCTCTGCTCTTTCGCAATTTTTTTTAATTTGTCAATTGCTTGCAAGATAATAGGTATAAGTAAAAACATAGTTATGAATACATGTATACATGTAAGAAAAATAAATATATATAAAAGAAACAATAGGACAGGGACGGTAGGCATTTTGGTGCGCTTATGCACGCCCCCTACAGACCTCTTAGGAAAGGGGTGAGGTCAATAATAGACAGTCTAAGGTTAAAGTTTTGGGGGTTTGGGAGAAAAACCACAGTCAAGTAGAATATTCCAGACATTGACCACTCTGTTGCTGAAGTCGTATTTCCTGCAATCAAGTTTGGTGCGATTAACCTTGAGTTTGTATCTATTGTTTGCTCTTGTGTTGTTATAGTTGAAGCTGAAGTATTCATTGACAGGTAGGACATTGCAATGTATGATTTTATATAGTATACTTAGATCGGACCGAAGGCGACGTAGTTCTAGGTTTTCTAGGTCTAGAATTTCGAGTCTGGTGGCATAAGGTATTCTGCAATGAGTAGAGGAGTGGAGAACTCTTCTTGTGAAATATTTCTGGACTTTCTCAACTGTGTTAATATCAGATAGGTAATGTGGGTTCCAGACTGATGAGCTGAATTCGAGTATTGGTCTAGCAAATGTTATGTATGCTCTAGTTAGTAGTGTAATATTACCAGAGACCTTTTTGGCTGTGTAGTTACAGTGGGCTCTAGCACTTAGGTCATTAGAGATGAGTACTCCAAGGTCCTTGACAGAGTTTGGATCATCAACAAGGTCTTGACTATTCAGCCTGTATTTTATATTCTGATTTTCTTTTTTTGTCAATATGTAGGACAGAGCATTTATTTGTTGAGATTTGAAGTTGCCATTTGTTTGACCATTCTGATACATAGTCGAGGTCTTTTTGGTGGGTAGTAGTATTGTCTGTGGTGTTGAATAGCTTTACATCATCAGCAAAGAGAACGCAGTTGTTCTTAATATGATCACAGAGGTCATTTCTGTACAGTATGAAGAGAGTTGGTCCTAGAACACTGCCTTGGGGGACACCACTGTTGACAGGTACAGAATTTGATAGGACACTCCCAATTTTGACCATTTGTTGTCTGTTTGACAGGAATGCTTCTATCCAGTTATGTAGGTGTCCAGAGATACCATAAGATTTTAGTTTTAGGAGTAGTTTGTTGTGTACCATTGAATCAAAGGCTTTACAGAAGTAGATTGTGTCTATTGCTTTGCCCTGATCGAGTTGTGTAGTCCATATGTTTTTGCAGTGTAAGAGTTGCAGATTACAGGATAGTTTTTTCCTGAAACCAAATTGTTTATTAGAGAGTAGGTTGTTTGTTTCTAAGTGGAGGATGATGGATTGGTTAATAATTGATTCCATGACTTTACAGGTGACACAGCATAAGGAGATTGGTCTGTTATTTTCAACTAGGCTGGGGTCTCCCTTTTTGAGGATGGGGATGACCGTGGCTTGTGACCATAGTTTTGGCAAGGAGCTGGTCCTGAAAGATTTTTCAAAGATTATGCTTAGAGGTTTGGTTATGGCAGTGGATAGCTTTTTTAAGAAGTAGGCACTTATTCTGTCCGGTCCAATAGATAGAGATGGTTTTAGATTGTGCTGTGCTTTTTCAACATAGTCTTCTGTAAAATCGATATACAGTATATTAGATCATTGTAGTTGTCTGTGGTTCAACTAGGAAATACTGGGCATGATCCATTGCTGTTTACAAATACTGAGCCAAAGAATGTGTTAAAGAGGTTGGCTTTGATGGTGTCATCATTGCAGTCTTTGCCATTAGGTCCTTTCAGGGGTGGGATGGACCTTGAGTCTTTTAATTTGTTGTTTACAAAATTGTAGAAAGCACGGGTGGAATTGGTGCGTAGAAGGTTTTCTTCTTGTTTAATGTGATAATTGGTGCATTCATTCTTTATCTGGTGGCATAAATTTTTGTGTCGGCTTTTGAAGTTGGCAATGTGACCAGATTTGTTTTTCCGCCAAAGTGATCTCTTTTTGGATTGAAGCTTCCTTATTGTTTTGGGTAATTTGTTTTTTCTGGTTTTGAGAGTTGTCAATGGTACATATAGTTTGATGACTCTTTTGACTTCAAGTAAAAATATGTTGTAATGGTCTTCTACAGTATTGCATCCAGAGAATAGAAATTGCCAATCAAGGGATGAGAGATCGTTGTTTGTAAGATCATACTTACCTTTTTTGAAGTTATAATTGGGGATTCCGTCATTGTGATGATTTTTGTGTGGACGTATGTTGAGACAAAAGTCAATCATGTTGTGATCAGTGTTGGAAAAGGGTTCTTTAATTTGTATTCCGTAAATTGAATTCAAACTATTGCAGAAGATGAGATCGAGGCAGTTGTTAAGTCTAGTGTTGTTGGTTACTAGTTGTTCTAGTCCCAGATTTGTTACTGCATTGTAGAAGGTTGCATGTGTGGGTTCAGTTGTACATTCATTTAGGGTCCAGATAATATGAGGTAGATTGAAGTCACCAATAAAGATAAAAGCGTGTGAGCAGGATGCTGCCCATGTTAGTAGTGTATTTAGCTTGTTTGCATGTTCGATGTCATAATCAGATGCTCTGTAACATAGTAAGAATCGAAATGTGATATTTAAGGACAGTTCACAGATGATGGTCTCAGGAAGAGCAAGCTCCTGGGTAACTTGGATGTTTTTTAGATGTAAGGACTTTTTATAGAAGATAGCAACACCACCTCCTCTACGGATTTCACGATCTGGTCGGTAAACATGATAGTCTCTTACTGTTGTAATGAAGTCAGGGAGAGATGCGTTGAGCCATGTTTCACAGACTAAATATGATGTTGAATTTAGCTGTATTTAGTAAGAGGAGAAATTCAGGTATTTTATTTACAATTTAATGTATTTAATTTAATTTAATGGCATTCTGAGAACCCCCATTGCTGGTTCCTTCCAGCTTTGGTAGCCTTCAGAGGTGAAGACCAGCCCAAGGGACAGCCTTCAAAAAAGCGAGACAGAAGACAGGAGTCTCTCATTTCTCCCTCTTGACCATCCGTGGTCTCCATCCAAGATGTTCTTCTGATTCCCTCAAGTCTTTCCTGAAATGGAAAAGGAGGGAGGGAGACAGGCCCAGTGCTCCCTTGGTTTGAAGATGGCTTTCCTCCTCAGAGGCCTCCTCTCTTTGAAGAAGCCTCTAGGCAAATTCTGGCTGGAAGATGGAGAATCCTGCAAGGATCTTAAGATTTCCCACCCACTGGGCTCAAGTGGGTTTTTCAAAGGTAGTGAAGCAATACAATTAGCTCATTTGCTTCTCAGGGGTCACCTTAAACCAGCCTTGGAGATGTTAAGACGTGTGGACTTCAACTCCCAGAATTCCCCCAGTCAGCAAAGCTGACT